AACTTAAAAATACAAGTCTCAGAAAGATTTCTCCAGCCACTTACTTGTATGTATCTAAACAGAATTTCACGCATAATAAAAATTTTTTCAAGCCTCACTTACATCATTAACATTTACAAGCATCCCTTATATCTCTGGCACCATGGATATAAATAGCCATATAATACAAAGAAGTTCACCAATAGAGCCATAATAAAGGACATCTGTGCTAAAGAGGCAGAGAGGGGATATCTAAAGGAGGACAAGACATTCCTCTAGGGGGATGAGGAAAAATATCACCAAAGGTGGCAGGATTTCAGCAGGGATAAGAGCAATAAGCAGAACTTCAAAGACAGAAAAAATTTTCTGGAAGCAGCAGCATGAGCAAAACTAACAGGCCAGGAGGTCACAAAACATGTATAAGATACGATAAATAACAATTTTGACTGAGACTAAAAGTCATATAAGCAAATAATGTGGAAATAATCAGAAAAGGTAAGTTAAGCCCACATTGTAGAATCCTGACTTCCAATTCTAAGGAGCTCTGTTTTCATTGGCATTTTAGCTGGTTAACAGAAAATCAGTTTAACAAATTTTTAAATTTTATACTATATAGTCACCTATATAACTAAGAAATATATGCAAGCTAGCCAATTAGCTCAGTTGGTTAGAGTGTGGTTCTGGTAACACCAAGGCCTGAGGTTCAATCCCTGTAACACCAGCAAAAAAATAAAATTAAAATTAAATTAAATTCAATGAGAAATACATGCATAACGAATATCTAGTTTTGTACTGCAAAAGAACAAATACAAAGAAAATGCCCTAAACTTCTCATTAGTCAAGTCCATTTCTTAGGTCAGATAACACTGCTGGGTATTCACTTGCATGGTACATTTCAATTGTGTGGTTTTCTAGAACAGGACTTGGCAGCTGAGCCAGAGCTGAGATTTTGCCAGGTGGGTGGAATAAAGGATAACGTAATAAGGGAGCTGAGATGTTGACAGGAGTGGCTGAAGTGAGCTAAGCTGAGTAGGGAAGTGAAAACAGAAAGGGGATAAGAGGAAAAGAAGTTAAAGAAGTTAAGAGATGGAAAGCCTCTACTAGTCCAAGCCCAGGTAGAGATGACAGTGAGAGAGCTGGATGGATGGGAACTGAGGATCAAAGAGAAATATATACAACTTTAAAATCCAGGGTGTGGCCATGAAAGTAAGGGGCTGAAACTGCATGGGTGTGAAAGACACTGGAAAGTTGAAGGTAAAAGTATGTTGAATGAATTCAAAGCATACATGCTTCCACTGTAGCACCTAACATTACAAGGGCAGGTGGCAAAGGCAACTCTTATTAAGAACCACTGGGGACGGTGTTAGAATTGAAGAGAACTGTACGGACAGACGGTAGGAAGCTCAAAGGAGAAGGACCAAGGAGTAATCATCTGGAATTCCCATCAAGGAGGTACTACATGTGTCACAAAATCAGTCACTTTTTGTTCCTGTTTTATTTGACCTTTCCATAGCAATCAGCACTGCTAACCATATCTTCCTTCTTGAAACTCTCCCCTCCACTGGCTTCCATGACACTCCATAGTCCCAATTTTCTTCTACCTCTCTGGCTCCCAGTCAGCAGTCTTGTTGGTTTTTACTCTCTATCAGAACTTTAAATGTTGGAAAGGTTCAAGATTTAACATTAGACTACCTTCTCTTTTCACTCTACCTTGTCTCCGTGGGGAATCTCTTCCACATTCACAGTTGGATGATTCAAAAAAAATCTACCTCCAGCCCAGTATGGCCCGAATCACAATGTCTACTCAACATCTTCTAAGAGATGTCTCAGGATCCCCTCATACTCAACAATGTCCAAAATCATCACCTCCAAACTCCGTCCTCTTCCAGTATTCTCTATCTCAGTAACAGGCATCACCTTTCACAGAGGTGATCAGACCAGAAACTTGGAAGTCTCCTTAAAATTTCCCTCCTCCTCAACCTCGTACTCATTCAATTACCATATACTGCCCATTTTCATCTCCCAAATATTCTATATCCACCTGGTTCTCTCAGGTGGATATAGAACTGCCATCTTTTTACAAGCTTCTATCATCTCTTACCTATACTCACAGTTCCTTGAACATACCAACCTCTATCTGACCACTAATCCCTGTTTCCCCTTGTCTTTTCCTAGTTAGTTCTGAGTTCAGCTCAACCTCCCTTTGTCATGGAACACTCTAATCTTCCAGACTAGATGAGGTCCTCTTCCTCTTATATGTTAAGAGGGAGGGAAGAGTGGAAGATTGTGGCAGAGTGAAATAGCTACAGACATAGTAGAACAGAGTCACTGCAGTTGGTTACCATTAAATTAACAGTGGTTTCACATTTCCCAGTTTATATAATCATTTAATTTATACAACGACTAGAGATAAAAGAGCCAAAGTTGGCAAATCAGGAAGTCATCTCAGACTTTCCCTATTGCCTTAAGTGAACTCAAAACTTGAGAGATTCAGCAACAGTTTAGTTTAGTTAACTTCTTAGTTGCTTTATAATCATTGCTGACTAGTAACCATTGCCATTTCCCTCAAGAGAGTTAAGCATTTGTGAAAGGGGTTGGCACCACCAAGCTGCACTAATCTCCAACTAATCAAAGTCAGTACTAAATAGAAGGGGAAAAAAACTATTGTCTTATCAGTTAGGCCATTTCCATTCCATCTAAGCAGAATATAATCTTCAATATCATCATTGTCAGCTTTTCAAAACCTAAGTATCAGACTGGAAGTGAAGTTAACTCTTCTTGTTTGATTATTCCTCTACACAAAATAATAAGAGAAAGATACAACCAACAGATTTAAAAAAATACAAATAGGCAAAACAAACAAAAAAAAAATCCCAAGTACTTGGGAATGGTGTCAAGAGGAGAAAAAACTATCTGTAAAGAAGCCACGTGGAGGAAGTAAAGAACTTCATATCCAGTGCTTCAAAATTCTTCACTAAGTTGAACTCCTTTGATTGCTAAGTTTGACCCTGCAATTGGTGAAAGTTCCCTTATCATTGCCAAGGCTGAGTCTTCCCACACTACACCATTTAACAGAAATTCAGTCAACAAATACTTATTCTTCACATACTAAATCCTAGTCACTATACAAAGCACAACAGAATCAATGATGTCTAAGACTAGGGCCAACTATAATATAATGTAACAAAGGCTACTGCAGTTGTATTAATAAGTTATGTATTCACGAAGGAGGTAGAAAACAATGCTTTAGAGCAGTTTGGTCCAGGGACTGGCAGCCAATCCACACACTTACACCAGAGTATAAATCAACTATGTCACTAAGCACAACGTTTAGTTCAGCTGACATTTTTTTCTTAGCAAGACTTTCTTAATAAAGGAAGTAATGTACACATTTACATTCTGGTACAAGTCCCTTATTTTGTTACAGACTGGTACTCTGGTAGCAGTGAGAAAGAGGAAATGAAGTGTAAAAAGAGAGTGACAAATCAGGCAACCTTTCAAACAGGACTTAAAAGATGAATAAAATTTTACCAAAGAGATAAAGGAAAAAAGGCATTCTAGTATACTCTATTATAGGTGGCCTAGATTCTTGCATTTGTTAGCCAAAAACGCTCCTGAAATTCTCATATGATATCTACTGAGTCCACACTGACTGGCTGGACCCCTTACTTGTTTAAAAATTAAATCCATATGATTGTCCCCTTCACCCCTAACCAACTCTTTCCTTTGCACACAGTATTAATCCCTGATACTTATATACACTTTTACTGAATTCTACTTGTCCTCAGCTGGTTCTGAATCTTCACATTTCTGCTAGTTTCCATCAGAATTACCTCTAAAGCCTCAAAGGCCAGTAACTAACTTTTCCACAGAATGGTACATCTAGCACATCATTACCTTGTAAGTGGATTTAAGCTGAAAATTTAAACTAGATTGAACAAAGTACAACTGTAACCTGCTGGTCAAAAGAGTTTTAAGTATCTTCCTCCATACTTCTTGACCTTTAAAGATAACTCTTCTCTCCATCTCAGGCTCTCCTTATTTTTTAATCCCAGGAAAACAGCATTTGACTTTATAAGTGTATCTGATCATTCTAATAGCTCTACTTTAATCTTCTGCTCCAGGATGAAGTATCCTAGTCCTTTCTGAGAAGACAATAAAACAGTACCCTACTGTGATTTTTCATAAGCATATTTTAGCTAGATGTCAACCAAACTTTCTTCCCTAATAAGTGTAAAACCACAAGCCACATGGTAAAGCTCATTTCTTAAACTTAAATTATAGGACTGAATTCCTAGTCTTTTTATAGTAAAGGACAAGCACAAAAAAACAAAAAATTATTGAATGACTGGTATATGCTAGGCAGAGGGGACACACAGCAGTTAACAAGATAAACATAGCAAAGCATTATATATTTTTTTATGAGAGCACCCACCCATTACTGGCTCGGCAACTGAACAGCTAACAGATGATAAGTCATAGCTCCCCTCAAAGAGTAGCATAGTCCCATTATGATACATTTGTCATTTAAATGAAGAGTTCCCATTAGGTCTCCCCAAAACTACATTCAATAATAGTTTCATATAATATAGTTTACACTCCTATTCCCAAGTACTAACATTATAAGGGAACTCAATGAATTTAACTGAATCAATAAAAATTGTATGTTTAAACAAGCACACGGAAAGGACATTGTTGGGTGTGGGGGGGGGGGAGGGAGATTTCGGTAATGGGCCACAATAATCAACCACATTGTATATCGGCAAAATAAAACAAAATAAAAAAATTGTATGTTTATTTTTAAACCATCAAGTAACAATTTTCTCAAAGTCATATATACCAATTCTAAAGAACAATAAAACCATGACTACTCATTTTCAGTTGAATATCTGTGATGCTATAAAAAACCAAATTTCCTTTTTCAAATTAATTGTTAGGGTCAGACTGATTACTATTTTGAAGTACCCAGCCTTGTCACAGTAAAAGAAAGTTATTTCACTAGTTCTGAACTCTTTACTCACTTTCTTCTGTCTTCCCTCCATCTTGCAATCTCCTCTGGCGTGTCTAACTTGATCTTCTTCATACCAGGAGCATGCATCTAGGGGGAGAAAGCCTGCTGAACATCAGGAAGCATAGCTATGCTTTTGACTAATTTGGAGATTTTCTATCCAACATTAAATTTATTAGCAGAAACAAATTTAAAACTAAGTAAGCAGGTTTATCCATCCTTATTATGACATTTCCTTTAAAGAAAAAAGAATAATTTCTCATGTATTTAAGACAGTACAATTGAGAGGGAATAAAAGAGTAATGTACTTTTGGTTACAAAGTAGCTATGTCACCCATATTCTCAACTGACATTAAATACTCAAACGAATGACTAACGAGCCAAAACTGAGGAAGGCTGCTAAAGAAATGAGTAGACATGACAATCTGAAGCAGCATGGTTGGGAAAACCAGCATAGAATTTGGAGTCAAGAAACTCAACTGCAAGAATCACTTCTAAAGCCTTAAGCAAATCATTTTTTTTAATCTGTTAAATGGGGCCAATATTTACTTACTTCACAGTTGTTTATGAGGATAAAATGGAATAAGAGATGTAAAAATCCTTTGCAAAGTACAGAGTAGTCCATGAATGTTACTTATTATGAGGCTATGTAAATAAAGATATGTGAAGATAACAGATCAATAAAATAAAAAGAGCATGTATAAAAAAAATAGGGTTAAAAGACACAAGAACTTACGTTTCTCCAATGGAACTGAACAATCTTCTCATGTGCACTAAAAGAGCAATCTACTTCAGGACACTGTAAGAGTTTTTTTTTTAAAAAAAAAAAAAGACTATTTAATGTTTTCCGTATTAACTTTTACACTACTATACACATATATTCTGGTCATATTCCATAGTTATCCTACCTATGTGGTATTATCACTACATACTTATGTCAGTAGCAAAACAAAGATCACTCCAAAACAGAGCTGCATTTAAAAAGGAATGACATTCTTAAAGTATGTTGCACAGTAATACATCTCATTTACTTCACTTGAGTGAAAGCATGGCATCAGAAATGTTGTAAAATGTTCTAAATTCCTATTAACTGAACGAGAACCTTTCCAAAACCAAGAACTTTCTTTTTAATCTTTTAAACATTTTGGTTAGAAAATTTTAAAAAGTACTTCATAAGGTCTGGACCATCCTTAGAGGCTGATGGGCATGGCCAAATTACACAGTGCAGTTAAATGGTCAAGGGCAGACTTAAAGGGAAGAGAACTCACAAGGGTGCACAGGGCAATTGGAGGGGAGGCCCAGTCACTTCTCAAGCAGTGGGGCCATACACACACGAAGTGCTCCCAGACCTCCCTTCTTTGTTGTAACCTTACCTCTTCCTGAAGCAGTGTGCTCCCCACCCTCAAACTGCAAATCCCAGGGTCACTGTCCCATTTGTCAAGTCATCAAGCAACATTTCTATGAAATCTATCACTTTTAAGAAAACCAAGCCTGAAATTTCTACCAAATATACAGCTAGAAAGCCATTTTGCTATATGAATTTCAGGACAACCAAGAAAACCTACTTTTGTATGTTCAGACATGTGCTTGTCATACTTTTCTTGATTTTTAAAACCACGATCACAGGTATCACAAAAAAAGTGATAAACTGGTTCCTTTCTTTTCTGTAAACAAAAACAAGGAGGCATTAAGCTTTTGATGGAAAATCAATAATAAAAATACAACTATCCTTCTAGTAATACATTTGATTTTTCACATAACCCTTATATGAGAGTACTTCAAAAACTTTGTTGACGGGCCGGCCCGGTGGCGCACTGCTACAGTGCGCCGCTTGGGAAGCGCGGCGGCGCTCCTGTCGAGGGTTCGGATCCCACATACAGACCGGCCGCTCACTGGCTGAGCGACGTGCGGGAGCAACACCAAGGGTTGCGATCCCGTGGCTGGTCCCGGTCCGGTACGGGCGCGACACTGAGGGTTGCGATCCGTTGCCGGTCACGAAAAAAAAAAAAAACTTTGTAGAAAAATAGAATTAAAAAATAATACAAATCTTTCCATGAACTTTGTAAAGTACCTCAAATGTGGGAGAAACTTCTGAATATATTTCTAATCAAGGGATGATTCTTGTTTCTTTCATTTTTAGCAAATATATATTTTATATATAAAAGCTGAGCATAACAAAAAAACTATTAAATCTAAGTAGAGCTAATATAAACTGTGAGTAAATTTCAAATTGGTAATCTAATTAAGATTTAGTACAGCATATGTCAAAACAACCTAAAAATAAATATTCAAGGTAAAAACAGCATTTCATGTTTTAGGTAAAATTACTATGTCTTTAAAAAAAAAAAATCTACAGAACGGGG